ACAGTTCATACCACCATGTTGCAGTGGTGTGCACAGAAAAAAGTAATGCATGCAGTACTTTTTTTCAGCACTGAGAGATGCGATGCGGTACAACCAACTTGCACCCCCCTTTGCCTGTAGAACTTAATGAAATGTGCGAGGTGCTTTTACTGCTTTGCAATTTGCTTTGCTGAAAAAAAGTACAGCATCCCATACTTTTTTCCCAGGGTACACCACTTCAAGGACCCTGTGTAGCGGTGGTGTGAACCAAGGCCATCCGTGACAAGGCAAATTGCCTCCTCTTGCTTTGGGGCTGCACTGGAAACGACGACCAGTGCATGTGCATATGGTGTGAATACACATAGCTATCCTAGCTATTCCAGTTTTCGTAGATCAGCCTTCCTTATCACCAGTCACACATATCCATCATATGACTGTGGCCGGTCTCTGACACTCCCAGGCCCGTGTTGTAGAAGCTCCGTCACACATGTCACCCCTCGTATCCATCCTCCGCCGATCACATGCAGGGAACCAGCCGGTATTCGCATACAGCCGCAATCTCCGCGACGTGACATCACCCTGCCAGCGTACCATCCCGAGTCAGCTGACTGTGACGTCACATCCCTCCGTCTTCCGTGATTGCGGCTGGTCGGTGTCCGACGACGTCAGCCCGTGCAGCGGCGGATGATGGCGGACAGTATCGCTCTCCAGCCGGTGCAGAAGAGAGCGGCTTATTATACGGCGGACAGGAATAAGAGGAGGTGAGGAGGGACGTTTTCCCCGCCCATAGCCGTCATGGTACACCTGTCTGTGTATGGCACAAGTCTGCCCACTGCATGTCACATGTGTGTGTGGGGGTCAGTACTGCATGGTGACCATACATAGACTATACAATCTGATTGTACGAACTCCATATACTATGTAATGTAAGGGCCTGCCTGGCTGCATACTAAGTGAATTGCTTGTTTAGATGTGTCCTCATGTTACATAGTTTTGGTAACTCTACAGGAGATTGTATAGTGTATTAGAAGGGGGTAGACCGTCCGGACGCTTGTCCTAGAAATGTCACTGTTAGTGGGAATACAAAATTACTCAACTGTGATGTAAGTGTGCCAATACGGCTACCATCACCTTATATATGTGTGTGTATATGCATAGGCAAATGCAAACAATCATCCCATGAGGGCTATGTGTGCGGCTTCTTATATGAAAAGTGTTTACTTCCTCCTTTTTAAAGTGCTGATTGCCAGGCTGCCATTCCGATCCTGCGGCTTCACTGCTGATTCAGTGACCTGGAAGAAATGTTGTCCTAAAGATTCTCATTGCCCCCCTGCCTAGTTCATGTCAACAATGGGAACGTGTGTGGAAAGCCAAAACGTTTGCATGGAGTAGGGGAAGGTTTTTACTAGGGATGCACCGATCGGTATCGGTGCCGAGTATTTGGGCGAGTACTTGTACTCACCCAAATGCTCCGATGCCTGAGCTTCCGGTATAAGGAAGCCGGGCAGAGAGTCATTACACGCTGCCCAGCTTCCTGATTGGCCGAGAAGGCGGCTCCATGCTCCCTCGTCACTTGGTGACGAGGGAGCATGGAGCCGCCTTCCCGGCCAATCAGGGAGCCGGGCAGCATGTAGTGATTCGCCACCTGGCTTCCTGAGGGTCGGGAAGCTGGCCAACCAGGAATCCAGACGGCGAGTCATTACCTGACCCCTGGCATTCTGATTGGCCAGAAAGCATGGAGCTGGCTTCCCGGCCAATCAGAAAGCCGGGCACCAGGTAACGACTTGTTGCACGGCTTACTGATTGGCCAGCTTCTCGACCAATCAGGAAGCCGGGCAACGAGTCATTACACGGAACCCGGCTTCCTGATTGGCCAGAAAGCCGGCTCCATACTTCCTTGTCACTTGGTGATGAGGGAGATGGAGTGCGGCCCGCCTTGTGACAACACTGATAGTCATTTTGGTGTCACCCCCTCTGAAAAGTCGGGCACTCGGTCATGGACCGAGAGCCCGACAGTTGCAGGAGAGAGAGGAGGGAACCTGGCGGCATATCTTATCCCACCGGGTGAACGTCCCCTCCTCTCTCTGCTGGCGTCCATCACCAAGATGGCCGCTGGCAGGTATAAAAAAGATGACCACGCATGTGCAATGACGTCATTGCGCACGCACATGGTGACGTCATGCGCAATGACGTCATGATGCCGTGTCACCCGGTATCTCTACCGGCTGACACCCGGCCTCGAGACGCCCCTGCGCTCAGGTGTGAACAGTGGCCATGGAAATGAATGGGATTCCTTGTCTGGAGCGTTTTGTTGTGCTTACCTTTGAACGACGGATCCTGTCTGCGTCCGAACCGGGACAACCACACCCGTACGGATCTGCACTAGAGGTGAGCGTAGGGCGGCGTACGACCGCATACTCCCATAGAGAAGGACGGGGGCTGTGTACTAATCACACGCAGCACCTGTCCTTCCCGGGAGCTGCCCGATACGGCCGTGCACGCAGCACGGAGCTGTATGTGCCGGCCTTTTCACGTGTGAATGAGACCTAAAAGTCAACTCACAAGATTATTGCCATAATTCCAGAGGTGGACTGGACACATTTGTTGGTACCCTTAGAGCTCATTGAACCAATGCTTTCTTCCTCCTGAACAGTGGTGAGATGAAAAGCAGTTGTCTCATGTATACCTGCATGCCTTTGGTATGCCATAGTAAAGCTAAGAAAGGGTGAGAAGTGATACATTATTGATTATTTCAAATCATCCTGGACAGATTTGTTGGTACCCCAGAAATGAATATAAATAATTGGATCATAGTGATATTTCCAACTGTTTACTGTAAATAGTGTCCCACGTCTTCAATGTTGTATTTAAATGGAGGAAAGTAGTCACTCCCGCCTGCTGTGTGTTTGCGTTTGTATGTTTGTGTACACGGAGGGCAAGGGGACTTTAAAACACTGTTTTTGGGTGTTTTTTAATTTATTTTTTATTTAACTTTAATTTGATAAAACTATCACATAGGACTCTCACACTTCTGAACAATAAAGTTCTGTTATTTGGTTCCTTTTGGTCTGTTAATTATGCCATTAAAAGTGTCTTGTTATATCTACAAAAAAATACCTGTTACTCTTTCCAGAAATCCTGTCACCTGATAACGTCATGTGTTATCAGTTACATAGTTTCCTAGTTATGTAATATGATTGCAGAACCCTGCCCTCTGTGTTATGGAGAAGAGCAGAAAGAAAGGTGTCTGTTGTTCTGGTGACTCTAGGACAGGAAATGTTTTATTGGTAAAATATAAAGGGAGAAAAAATGGGGGGGG